AACAGAACACTTGTGGTAATTAAGTATATATAGTACATTGATCATTTTAATTCATAAAATACCTAGTTTCTTAATACTTGTCTCGTGGCATATTGGTACAAGTGAAATTTTCTAAATTTGAAACCATGACCATAAGATGGGGATTTAATAATTTTCTTTTGCATGGTAAAATCCAGGTTGACGTACGTGGTAACCCGTACGGTTTACTGGCTGCACATCCGGTGACTCCTCTTGTATCACTCCACCACCTCGACTATGTTGACCCAATTTTTCCCTCGACGACTCAAATTGAAGCCCTAAGAAGACTCATATCGGCCTATAAAACGGATCCAAGCCGAATCCTCCAGCACAGCTTCTGCCATGACCTGACCCGAAACTGGTCTATCTCCGCTTCTTGGGGCTACACCATTCAGATTTATCCATCTCTAGTCACTGCCAAGGAGCTTGAGACACCGTACCTTACGTTCAAGTCATGGCGAACTTCAAGCTCCGAGCCTTTCTCATTCGATACCCGACCCATCAGCGAAGATCCGTGCGAGAGACCCATTGTTTATTTCCTGGACCGGGTGTATGAGGTTGGGACGTCGGGTCAGACTCTTACCACGTATCGGAAGCATGTTGAAGTGAGCGATACACAATGTGAATCGTCGGATTATTCTCACGCCAATTTGGTCGAGTTCCTCGACGTTTCCGCCACTAAATGGATGCCGGAACTCTGGAAAATGGTAAGTAAAAATATCCTCTTCATATAAAATTCAAAATTTTAGCATATATATTCCCATGTTATATTTTGAAATAAGTAAATTCTTATCCATGATCTCTAAATTTATATATAGATTTGGAAATCAATTAAAATACACAATGAATAACAATCTTAATTTAGATATAGGAATCATGTATATACACTTATTTTCGTGACTTATTATTCTTAGGCATTGTGTTTGAGAATAAGATTTATAGTTTACATAATAACTTTTGCTTTCAAATTTTTGAATTCGATCTTAATTAAATATATAGTTTGATTATACTATATCTTATTTATTTGATGGGGTTTACAGGCACCGCGTAGACAATGTTGTGAGATTGCCAACAGTGAAGAAGACTCAGAAAGTGTAATCAATGTCAAGATACGGCATTGTAATCCTTTCGAAAGTGTAACTCCTCAGCCGTAGCATCCGAGCGAAAACTTTCCGAGAGATTTCAAATTTGGACAGATGGATCGTATTATCTACAGAGACTACATCATTTCATAACAAGAGGAAATGAGCAACAATTTCCCCATTTTTAATGTAAATATCAACTAACCGAAAATCGGAATTTGGATGCAATCAAAATGATACAGACTGTTAGATTACTTAGCATTTCACCTTTTTCATATAATTTTCTTTTCTCTAGTCATGTAATTTCCTCCCCTCCAAAACATTTTTGATTTCTATATACATTAATTAATGGACCATAATTTTGTTTTCCTTGTAACCTTCGAGTTATAGTATTGAAGGCCCGGCTCTTTATGTAGCAATGGTCAATTCTAATACCAAAAAAATAATCCATATATACAACATTTGGATCAAATAACAGTTAAAGAGTACAACCTTAACCAAAATGAAGTGTAATCAGAACTCTTGATTGGTACTAAATAAAAGAGAAAACGTTTTCCCTAGCGAACGTTTTCCCTAGCGAGTCAAATGTTTCAAAACAAATTATTTTGATCTCTATGCTAAAAAATTCTCCATTTCAACGTCTTCCTAGGACCACACGACGTGACAAACTCTTCTTCTGGAACCACAACAAGAGTGAGGAGCGAGAAGACTTTGATATACGGACAATCTCACACAAAACTCCAGTAGACCAAGAGAATATACACATAGTTGACCTAAAATAAAATCAACGATTATACAGTCAGAAGCTTCCACGATTAGAGTGGACCCCTTTCGAGTCTACGACTTTTGACCATTTGGGCATTTGCCACCAGGGTCCCAATTTGTCATTAAGGTCATTTACAACCCCACCTAATTCATTATTATTCAGGATCAAAAGTAAAATGCTACACCAATATATCAATGATTCAATTCTGTGGTACTATAAAGTTGGAAAAAAAGACAAAACAAATTCACATGGTACCATAATTTGTAAACAAATTAACAAAGGTTGGAAATTTTATACAATAATTTGAAAGTGATCTTAGCTTTATAAGGTGCCGTATAATTATTATACATTTTATTGCCAGTAGTCGATTTTTCTATGTAGCATTGTATAAGTAAATGATTTCGTTTTTATTCTACAATGATTGATACATACGAAAGTCATTATAACAAGAAAAAAGGTACGGAGTTATAAAATCGTCGGTTTGAAATTTGAGAGCCATTGAAATTTTGTGTCCACATAAATATTCGACTAGAAATATATTGCAAAGAAATATATTCGACGTTATTGGTACTACGTGGTTTCCTATATCTTTTTTGGCATCATAACTTTTGGAAATGTTGAAACTCGCTGTATTATTTGGCATATTAGACGACTATGAGTCCGCGAGTCTCTGATAAGAACATACAGTATATCATGGAGGCAGTAATGTAGCCAAAACCAAATAAAATTATTAAATTAGTGTTTACTTTAACTATTCCAAAAACTTCCGTTGGATAAGTGCTAGCATAATTTTGATGTCATTATGATGTCATTCTTATATAATCA